GACATAATAAATAGAATCATACCTTTAATTTTTTGGTAGGTTTCTTCTTTTAACGAGCCAGTTGATTGGACTATAGAACCTAACGAAGAGTTCCTCTTCTGTAATCGCACCAAGAAGCAAAATAGAAGCATATCTAGGCAATCCTCAAAGTGTGAGTTGCAAACCGAATCGAAATCTCGATTTTGCAACTAACCACGACATGGTGATCAAGGTACCACATCGTGGGAACTGCACTTCAGGAATCTTTAGGGTTTTGAGGGTTCCAAATTTTGGTAGCCGAAAGGTATTGTTCACTTATGTCAAAACCGGATTTGGAGCCCTATTTATATAAGGAGGTAATTTGAAAGCCTAAGGATAATTACCAAATATAATAATAATTATCTATTAAATTCAAATCATTCCGGAATATTCTATATTCCATTATTTTCTAATTAATTAACAAAACAAGTCCATCATGTAAATATCTTTTCAGTTATGCTTTATTTTTTTTTGTGTGACCCAAAAGGACATTACTATTTATAGTAATATTACCAGGTTTGTTATGGCTACGAGTACTAATCTCCATCAATACTTGCATCTCACTTTAAGTCATTATTTGGATTTTAACTTAAAGCTTAAGAGATTCTTATTATTACAATAATATAAGACTATAATCTTATCAAGTAGAGCAATTACTGGTGTTTCTACTTAGGCGGGGTTCTACTCTACATTTTTCATCAAATTCTAACATTCCAAGATGAACCAAAGTCTTCAAAGGTTGTATTCTTTTTCTTCATATGTTTTTTTTAATCTTTCCATGTTTGTAAAATGGTCATTGGTAGGTTAAAATAGTTTTAAGTTTATTCACAATTTTAAAGCTTCCGTTGCCATTTCTAGTGTTTTTAGAAACGAGTTTTTGAATAAAATCCAACAATTATATATTGGAGTGTCATCTTTTTCTTTATGCATTATTTTAGAGATAAAATTAAGGACTCTATAATATTATATTTGATATTGACAAAACCATAAAATGTCGATGTGACATCATTACTAGAAGCTCTAGGAACATCGAATAACAACAATGTAAGTCTTAATCAACAATAGAATTAAGGTAACAATAACACAACATAAGAGCCCCCTGGTAATTTAAAACATACATATATAAAATATTTTTAGAATAATAAATCCCCAATTAAACTCAAGTATAAAATAGAAATATTGTAGCATGTTAACAACATTATTCTAAAACAAAAGTTTAAGGAATGGGAACAGTCATGTAAGGTTTAGTAGCAACATCATGTATATCTTGATGTATAATGTACCAAACTAAACTTGGGACATCATCAATTAATCGGTGGAAATGAAACAACATAATAGGTTGTTGATGTAATAATTGATAGATAGATGGGACAGAACAAAAAACAACCTTAGATTTTATTTCTTAAATCAATAAACACTGTAGAAATCGAAACATGTACAATAAATTTAACCGGTTAGAGTAACAATTAAATGAATAAGAAGAAATATGTTATCAACTCGTTATTTTTTGTGTAAATAATGTAGCAAATTAAACTTGGAACATTGACAAACTAATCGGTGGAAATGAAACAACATAATAGTTTGTTGATGTACTAATTGATAGATAGATGGGCAAAAACAAAAAACAACATCATATTTTATTTCTTAAATCAATAACCACTTTTGTAATAGAAACATGTACAACAAAGCTGACCGGCTAGAGTAACAATTGAATCAATAAAACGAAATATGTCATCAACTCATTGTTTTTTTGTGTTATTTACATTCTAGTTATTTTGTCGTGAGAGTGTATTATATGTTTTCTTTACTTCAACATGAAAAAAGTTAGGGGCAATTTTGTCTTTTCATGTTTATAATTTTTTGTTTTGATTTAATTTTTGTAGTGGTAGACTATAAAGAGGGGGGGGGGGGGGGGTTACATATATTTAATGGAGATGTAGAATCATTGAATTCACATTTATATTCTTGGATATATATTATATAAGTTTTATGCATATATGGTAGCGATTAGGGTTTGTGCCGTCTTATTTGTTCCTTCACCTTTTCTTTCATTTTGGGGATTTCAAAGCAATTGAGCTCGGCGAAAATCAGACTAAGCGTTAATTTCGACTCAACATCCACAATCTCACCAAAATCGGTACATTTTTCCTCTTTACATCTAAATTAGGTTAATTTTAGTATAAATATTAATTTTTCTTCATTAGATTCATTGCTAATTTTAAAATTCTAGTGTTTGATACGTTTCTCAAATTCAATTTCTAATAAATTTGCATTCTAGGCTTATTACGTTCTCATAACTTTATAGATCTAGAAATTACATGTTTTTTAGTTTAGCTCTTTATTTATTGTGTTTATATATAAGAGTGTAATATTGCAGCAATGTTTTTTTAAAAATTATTTTCCTAATTTATTTAGATTATAGATTCGATTGTTACTAGCCATAAAATTTTAATGGTGGCTTAGAGACAAGTTTCCACCCTAATCAGAAAGGGTAAATTCTTTACTTGAGTTATATTTATAGTATTACGTGAGTGCTAATCAAAGGGGTTGTGCCAAACTTCTCGACATCACATAATTTTAATAAATATACAACAAAGTGAAGTTGTGGGTAAAACATTCGAGATCATCATGTGGACAAAACTATCAAGACCAAATGCCTTGGTCATAACACATGAGGGGAGTGATCACTTATAGTTTCACCAATGACCGTACATACATGACACAAACTTCTTCAAATAAGGCAACCAAGAAGAAGAAATATATGGATTACAAGATATGACACACATAATCAAGGTTGGAGATTAGGTGCTGGTGAAATCCGTTTCTTAACAATATAAGTTGTTGCAAAAGGTACATAGGGGTTGGTGTGACGATTTGAACACCCCTTCATGATAAATCAATCTTTTATGTTACTAGATATTTTAATATAAATCATAAAAGTTTTACACAGACATAGTAGGTAAACGAGCAACAAGCTGACGCAACCCCTTTTTTGGATGGCAAAACCAATTCTTCTAAAAACAACATCCATAGATCTTGGGGTCATAACATTACTATGCATGTCCCGTTGGACTTTATTGAGGAGCTCCACAACATTTGGCGCAAGAAAACCAAACGCATCAAATGCAAAAGGTATAAACATGTGTTGATTGTCTATGCACGTTTTCTCATCTTTTGCCACTTTTCATGAAGTAGCTTTTAAAACAACTTGCCCCATAGTGAAAACCCCACTCCTCAAGCCCATAAGAGGGGAAACCCCTGTTAGATTCACACAACGTGCTTCTTTCCAGTCCATGCAAAAACTAAAACATCAATTGGTCTAAGTGTTGATCTTTCTTCCAACGGGTCAGTCAGAAAGTTCACAAGTTCCTCTTTCTTGACAGAAACTCTGACACGCCTAAATATGTCGAAAAGAACATCCTTAATCGGATCGTATCGGTACTTGAAACCCGTGAGCTCTCTACAATGAATTGCATGCTCCACAAAGGAGTCCAAGCATGCCTTGCAAGAAACAAGTCATGTCTCATCAACTGGAAATAAAGGGATCAAAAGGCGATACTTGAGGATAACACAATACTCCACTGTCTACATATGTTGGCGAAGACCGTCAATAGGAATAGTCATAAGAAAATCTCGAGCATGTGGTGCTCTTAGACACTCAAAAACTACTTTCTGCCTGATAGTCACGTCGAAGTGAGCTTCCATGTCTGGTATAATTTTACTAAAAAGTGCACTCGGCAATTAATGTTGGGCTTTTGGAGGGGCGGTGTCCTTATTAGTGAAATCATTGAAGTCAATGCCTGAAATCGTATCACGAAGATATACCAAAGCACAAACATAATCAGAATCCATGCCACATGCTACTATCTCGTAAAATATGGTTTTGTAACACCCATGATTGAGCTCGTGAGGCCACAAAAGCATAGGAGGAAGCCTCTACAACTGAGTACAACCCCAAACCACCAAACCTAATTGGTAATGAAGCAAGTCACCATTGAATGTCCCAAAGAAAGGACCCCCACAAAGCACAATGTACTCAATCGACTCGCATAACCCTTTATCAAAGAATAAAGTCGCCTCCTCCATGTGAGCAAAGAAAAGTTTGGCAATGTCCTTACAAGATCGAAGCAAAATGAGCTTACTCTGAGGGTCACGTAATTGTAGAAGAAGACACATCAAATCAACATCGTTGACTCCCTCTTCATGGCTAACCCGCTAATAAAAGTCGTATCTCTACTAACAACTCCTCCAAGAAGCTTCACCCCCAATAACGGTTGCCCAATGTCAACATGGAATAAACCCGCACGAAGCTTCCTACCATCACATTGAGACCAAAATAGCTTAGTTTTCTTGATATTCAATTCAATACCCAATCCTGGACATATCACCCTAATGGTGTCCAATACTCTGCCCCCTCCTCTGAATCTTCAATGACGGTCTCATCATCAAGATACCAAACATGAAGAAGAAGCGTGTAGTTGTCTCTACATTGATGTACAAATGGCTGCAAAGACTTGGAAATGTATAGTGAAAATATATTGTTTCTACTAAGTGAGTGTTTTTTAACCGTACCAAGAAGACTTGGAAAATCCAAAACAACGAATGTCCAGAAGACAATGTTGGTTGTTTTGGCATCAACGCTATGGTTACGTCTTTTGATTATGAGATTGGGGAGATTATATATATTTAATCAAATGCAAAATATCAAATTCAACAAGTTTTATATAAAAAACAAATTAGATATCCGGATAAATATTTGCTCTAACAGCCATAAACCTATATGACAAAATGTGAAGGTAACCTAATTCCACTTATCTTTTTCTTTTTAACCATGTGCGACCTTTTCATAACACAAAATAAAAATAGGAGGGCACGATCCGCTGTACCGCTCTAGTCCATTATAACCCGATCCAGGACCGCGGAGAAACCCAAACCCTTTTTACCAAAGTATCCAAACCCAGCGAACCGGTATTTTTGTGTGCAGAAGTATTTCTTTTGCCCCAAGAGGTTGGAAAGTCTAGTTTCGAAATTCCACGCCCCTTTTGAGTTTCTTCGTTTTCCTTCGTTTTTCCACGACCATTTCTCAAAGAATTTAGGTTCTAGCGCGATCGATTCTACAAGTGCATAAACGAATTCGTCTCCAGGTAAATATTACAATCGATGCTCAGTTTTAGTTTTTTTTATAAGTTGTTACGCATGATTTAGGTCGCCAATTTAGGGTTTTGCGCTTATACCAGTTGGATTTTCGTGGAATTCATGGTTTTTATTCTGGGTTTTTGAAATCCTGTTAGTTTTGCATGTTTGTTTAATGATCGCTGCTCTAATAGAAATGAACAGTAGTGTTCATGGGCGTTGTAGTTATCTAGACGTAGGCTAGTTTAAATTGGGGTTCAGTCAAGTTTACTGACGTTATCAAGTGTAATTGAATGGGGGTGATTATTAAGATGTGTACAATTATTAGAAGCTATGCTTAACAAAATTTTGTAATCACTTAGTAATCTGAAGATAAAGTAAAAGTAAAATGTAAGTGGATTAATTTGAAGTACGTCTAGCCTCCATAAAAATGTTATTTGTTTGCTTGTAGAATCTTTAGGGTTATAATCCATTGTATGTACCAAAATAGGTCTTGATTATGTCATGAAAGTAGTTGGCAAAACCTTTAGATGTCACGTAGCTTTATGATTTTTTCAAATACAAGAAATAGCAACGTACATCCCTTGATTTGTTTTATAGCATCTTACTTATTTATTCCTATTACAGCATCGTACTCTGGATATATACCCAGTTATAGGCTAGCAATGCCATTCAAATAAATGCACATAAATTTCCACTACTATAATTGGGTGGATATTTGAAAATATAAAATGTGATAATAAGATAAAAGTTGAAAACTATATAATTCTACAATAGTAGGATGACAAAAAATGGTTTCTTGTGTTTATCTGGTCTAAATATGTATTATTTTGTCCTTTAAGTGTGCATGTTCTGATTTGCAGTGACAAATGCAAGAAACGACTGATTTACAGTCAAGCCAAGTGAAGAAAATTCTTTATTCTGTTTCCATAGACGCGGATAGGGATAGCTAAAGAAAATAGATGAGATGAAGGCCTTAAGAAGATGCAGTAATAATTTGGAGGCTGATAATGTAGTTTTGATAGACGTAGATACTTATAGTTTCAATAATGTAATCGACATTGATCTAATTGAGAATCTTGCAAAGAAACGAGGAGGTTCAGGTAGATTGACAAACGAAAAGAATCGCCCTTCAAGGACATATATCTACATAGATGAAGATGATGAAGATGAAATCCCGAGTGAAACAAACTTTGAAAATGTTGCTTCATCCAGCAGCAGGAGATATGATCGCAGTGATGAAGAAAATATCTCTCCATTGAAGTTATCAAAAGGGAAAAGAACTTATAGTTTAAGCACACAGTCTGATGATGATGATGATGATGATGATGAACATATTGATTGTGAATTGATGGAGGATTCTTCTGGGAAACTAAGGGAGGAGTGGGAAAGAGCTTTTATGAAGAGAAAAGGTGATGATTATGGCAATGTAAACAAAGAAAAAGAAAAACATGGTGAAGATTGGAGTGTTGAAGGAAAATGTGGTGTTGGGAATGAGGATGGAATTCCATGTGGTATGGTTGATGTTGAGTGTGGTCCAGGTGGCAAGACAAACCAAGATCAGTTTGATGAGATAGCCTGTGGTTGTGCTTGTAGTAGTAATGATAATGAGGAGGAGAGTCAGAGTGATGATGTCAGCGTTGACAACTCTATTATTGATCAACGTGAAAAGCTTAAACAGACTGAGGAATACAAGCGGGCATTAGAGCAAGAATTGTCCGCCAGGCAAATAGCCTTAAAGATCCAGGTACCTTGCTTTTGTTTGTTTTTACTCTTAACAGATTAACATCAACACATCATCTGTTTGTTTGTTTGTTTGTTTCACAGGCAGAAGAAGCTCAGCAGTTGCGTCGTCTGCAAAAAAGAAGAAAAGCGGAAACCTTGCGTTTATTAGACATGGAGAGAAGACAAAAGCAACGTGTCGAAGAAATCCGTCAAACTCAAAAAAAGGTTCAAACCATCATACTTTCAACTATTTACATTCATTGCCCCTTGTCTTTGCAATTGCATCTTTTACTCAGACAAGATTTCCACAATCAACCTCATGTATAATTTTTTTTTTTTTTTTTGCTTTGCCATATCACATTTCCACCAATTTAAAAAAAAAAAAAAAATCCAATCATTGACCATTTAAAAGTTTTTTCTTTTTCTTTTCAAAATTAACTATCTATCCACCTCTTTGTGATATGTTTTAAAAAGTTCCCTCATAGAATTTGTTGTTTTTGAAAGCAAGTGTAATATTTTAAAAAGAGAGCACATAACAATGACATTAAATAAAATAAGTATCTTTACAAAGCTCGAATAGTCTTAACAATTGCATTAAATTAATCAGTTATTTATATGGGTTGAATATAATTAGGGAAGTAAAATGAAATATTATTGAATGAAGGGGGCTTTTTGTATCAAAATAAAGAACTCAAAAAAAAAAAAAAAAAGATTTAGTAAAATCTAAGTGATTGTTTGGCAGGATGAGGAAAATATGAATTTGAAAGAACGATACCGTACGGAAGTTAGAGAGGAGCTCCAGAAGCTGGAAATCATGTGTCCTGATATGGCTTCATTATTGCGTGGTTTAGGCATCCAAGTTGGTGAAGGTCCTTGCCCATTATCTAATGAGGTATGTTTTATTTCAATTTCAAGGCCATTTAATTTAAGTCTCTCTTTTGCACACAAGAGATCAAATTTCTATTTCTATTTCTATTTCTATTTCTATTTCAGGTGCGTGCAGCTTATAAGAGGGCATTACTGAGCTTTCACCCAGATAGAGCCTCCGGATCTGACATGAGGCAGCAGGTCGAGGCTGAAGAAAAGTTTAAACTTATATCTCGCATGAAGGAGAAATTTTCCCTATAAAAAGTCTGTAAAGCTTTACAAACATTTATTTACTGTTACTCTTTTCGTTAAATATCAAAACTCTCTTTGGTTTTTACCTAGGATTTTTAATTACAGCTTGTGTTATCAAGCAGTTTTTGTTGTGTTTTTTCTTTTACCGATTTGGATGGTAATGGTTAAAAATATGGAGTTAGACCAATGTTGTTTGTTTCTAAATTATAACCCTTGTCTGGTTATGTAATCATTATTTGCTATATTAGCGAAAATTGAATTCAGATTTTTATATCTATGTTATTTTGTACCAAGATTTAAACCATATCCAACAACATTTTATTTTTCATTCTATTTTTGAGCAAAAAAATAGAATTTAAAAGTTATTGTCGCCATACAAACTTACCGTTTTCGTTTTATTATTATTATTATTTTTATTTTTGCTTTGTAAAGGTACGAACACTTTTACTGTTTTACAAGGTCATATCTTTTAAATATGCTATCATTATCATCCCTCCGACCACATCGGTTCTTTGGCGGGTCTATTATCAAATAAGGTGCGTTTGGTTGGCAGGAAAAGAATGGAATTTGAGGGAAAATGATTTTAATTCCCTCGAATTCATGCGTTTGGTTGGACGTAGAGGGGGGAAAATGATTCCTAAATGAAATAAAATTTTCATCATATGGAGGAAAGTGGATTCATTCCAAAGTTTGATGGAAAACATTCCTTCTCATCAAGGAAAGTGACAGATTACAAAATACATATTTACTTATTAGAAAACCTACACCCACCACTACTGCTATCTACCACCAACCACCACTTCCACCACCACTATCGCCAATGCTACCACCGCCACCACCACCACCCGCCACGACCGTCACCACAACTAGCACCATTACTACTGCTGTCATCCCACTACTGCTAGCACCATCGTCACCACCACCACCTCAATCGCCACCACAACAACCACCACCATCGTCGCCAACACTACCACCACCCACCACCACCATTACCGCCGCCACCACCACCATTACTATCACCCATCACAACCACTACTGCCACCACCACTACTGTCACCGCTACCACCACCACCACCACTACCGCCGACGTCGCCACCACTACCATCACCAACACCACCTCCGCCGCCGCTGCCACCACCACCGCCATTGCCGCCAATGTTGAGATTTTACTATTTTATAATTTATATAATGTATCTTTACATATAAGTTAGAAAATAAAGTAAAATTAAGCAAAACAGACAAAAAAAAAATGTAATTCTGTTATTTTACATGGATTCGAATTTCATTTCCTGCGAACCAAACAAAATCTGGAATTAATTTCAATTTCATTTCCTGTCAACCAAACAGGATATTGAATTGGATTCAAATTCCTGACAGATTTCTTTTTCAATTCCAACTGCAGTTCCTTTAAAAACATTTTGGGAACCAAACAACACCTTAGTGTTTTGAGTACCCGATGTTGATGTTGGTGTCGGTGTTGGTGTTGATGTTGATGATGTTGACTAGAAAAGGTTGTTAAAAGACCAAGGGAGAGTTACAGAAAGTTGCCAGGAGGAACCGTTCTCTGAAGATCCTGTTGGTGTTGAAAATGGTAACACGGAAAAGTTCCTATTCGAGTTTAGATTCATCAGAAGTCCTGCAAATTGGACATGAATTGTGAAGGTGTAGCCATGGCAAAAAACAGTCTTGTAATTACAACCCATCTCTTTTTCTTCATATACAATTCGGAAATCTTCCCAACAAACTGAACACTAACGGAATTTTCCTGATTTTCACTGTCAAGATGGTTTTTTTTATGTTGATGTTTCGGTTGTTTTATCTTCATCAGGTGAATTGGACATGAATTGTGAAGGTCTAGCCATGGCAAAAAACAGTCTTGTATTTACAACCCATCTCTTTTTCTTCATATACAATTCGGAAATCTTCCAAACAAACTGAACACTAACGGAATTTTCCTGATTTTCACTGTCAAGATGGTTTTTTTTATGTTGATGTTTCGGTTGTTTTATCTTCATCAGATAAGATTTGGGTATTTGAAGATTGTGATAACAATCCACTTTTTACTATATTCGTCCTAAATCCCTAATAAAAATCATAAACATAATTTATAACAAGGTATACCAAAAATAAAAACTACTTCTAGTTCGGTCTTTGTGCTTCTACATTCTCACGTACAACAAGTAGCACAACGGCTGCTACATGAACCTACAAAAAATGAAAAATATCTACAACATTAGACCACAGGGCTGGTGAGTCATATATGCTTTCATGTATTCATACTCTGCTACTTTGTTATTTCCTTCTTTCCACTTTCTCTATCACCACTCTTGTCTTCTCATGCTCACTTCATGCTCTATTCACACTCTATCTCATCCTCTTCCCGACTCTTCTCATTACTTCATCTCAACTCATCCATTTCCTTTTTATTCCACTCAATCTATATCTCTTCCTATACCCGTCTCTCACTTTTTGCTTTCTTCTCAATCTAGGGCATGCTTACTCCTTTCTCTCTTCGTCCCATCTCTTCTTCTTCACCTATCACATATAAGACAACATAATTCGATTTTTATGACTCATGGGGTGTAAGAAATTCTTTTGGAAAGTATGAATGAGTAGCTTGAAGGATTAAGAGTTTAAAGCATTAAGTTGGTCAGATCAGTTTCTACGACGTGGGGGTTTAGCCACCACGACGTGGTGATAGGTGGTTTTCGTGACTGCTTTGTCGTGAGGTCACCATGATGTGGCAAATGCTTGACCCCAACGTGGTGGCCGGTTGATGGACTTTTAACCGTTGACCGTAGACTTTTGACCAAGTTGACTTTTAGCCAACTTGAGGGTTTTTGGGTTGTAGATTGAGAATTGGTCCATGTTCGTTGTATAGCTTACTCGTAGTACCAGTTTTTGGATTCTTGTGAGTTGTATTGTTTATCTGCTAGACTACGAGGTGAGTTTTCTCACTATACTTTGTATTGCAGTATGTATCCTTGTGTGTAGGATGTTGGTATGATGTAGTGATCTGTTATGATTACTTGTGCTTTGTTGGTTATTGTTTTATCTGTTTGCATATGTCGATATATTGTGGTTGGGTTGAGGCGGTCATGGTTTGTGCTGTAGTCCAAGATACCCGAGTGGTCCAGGTGTACTATAATCTTGCAAGGCAGTTCAGTTAGACTGTAGACCCAAGGGAGCAGTCCAGTTATATGTTGTAGGCTTAGGAGAGCAGTCCAGGTGTATTGTAGCCCTTTCGAGGTGGTCCAGTCAATCTATAGGCTCATGTGTGCATGCATTGTATGTGTATTATTGTGTGGGGTATTTTGGGAGAGCTCACTAAGTCTTGGCTTACAATTGTGGATTTAAATGTTTCGGGTACATCGAAGAAAGACGAATTCGTGATTGTACACATCATCCTGTTGATTTTTACTTGAAAGATGTTATTAATACTCTGATTTTTGTGATTATGTTTTGAAACAATGATTTGGATACTTTATGGTTTCTATGAAAATGTCTTTTGAAAAAAAAATTACTATGGTTTTGGGATGTTATAATAAAAAAACTAACACACACATACAAAAACACTGGTCTGTTCATATTTACATTGTGAATCTAAACTGTAAGTATTTCAGTTTTAACATCCACAATGTAAATTTGACTTACTATTTCAACTACTTTGATAATTCACAGATTAATTTAGTGAAATTTCCATATGAATCAAAATATATTTCTATTTAATTTTATAATATTTTAACGTTTTGATTCCTCAAATTAATTTTGTAAAATCAACAAATGAATTTTGTAAAATCAACAAATGAATTTATTCATATTACGATCATGAAGTGTATATAATTCAGTTTTCAAAATTCACAATGAGAATCTGACTTGCTATTAGTCACACTTGAGAATCTGATTCAATCGGTTTAGACATGTTTTTTTTGCCAAACAACCACCCAACAATCGAATCAATCGTTAACATTTTCACCTTCATGTTTTCTCTCATTAGTCATCAAATTACTCTTTCAGAAGATTGATGTTTCATGCTTAACAATCTCTACCACTGGTTTCAATTTTAGTTTCCAAAAGTTTCATATTTGCCCCTTTTATTAATTTTGCATGTTTCTTCTTAACTACTTTAATTTACCTTTTAGTTAAATTTATATATATATATATATATATATATATATATATATATATATATATATATATATATATATTCTTACATGACCCTAGCATCCTCCCAAAGGAATATCATTTGAGATGTTAATTTTAAATAGAATCGCCCAATTTAAGCAAACCTCATATTTGGAGTTGGGAGGAAAACAGACGAAACCAATTACAACTCCAGGCTTAATAGATAAATCCCGGCAAACAAAAACACAAAAAATAAAGAAATATACACAACATTACAACAACGAATGAGATGAGTTTATTTTTTTTAAAGGCAAAGAAGATAGAAGCAAGTTAAACAGCAGAAAGGCTAGCCCATTTCCCAAGCTGATAGTAGTAAAGGTTAATTCGGTTGGATAAAGAGAGCCCTGTGGCCAATGGGGGGCAACCTTTCAAATCAGAATCATCCTGATCTGTGGGATCATCTGCAAATGATGCAACATCCCCAAATACTCTAAAACAGACTCGCCGACTGTTGACGGGTCTAGGAAAATCAAAGTACATGGGGGTCCCACCCTTCACCTCCGGTAACCGGTATTCTGCAACTACCACCATGTTCCGATTCTCCTATTTACAACATACACACACAATGTTCAATTTATTTATTTAGTTATTGTTAAAAAGGCATGGGCCAATTATATTATTATAGCATATCAGATTTTTTTTATTTTTTTTCTTATTTGGACATTATCTTTGAAAAATACTTGGATGGATAGATAGATGATATTGTCATAATTAATTGTTAACGGTGTTGTTGGGTAGTTTTATAAGTTTTAAAATGTTGCAAGTAATATGAAGAAAAAAAAGTAGGGTGGTATAATAAACAAATTAATGCACAATGTCCCCCCAGCCAACAGGTAGTGCATGTTGATGTGGGGAGTTTATATGATATTGATTTAGAAAGTAAAGTAGGTGAATGGGTACCTGTAAAGCGGATAGTTGAATGTATAGCACGGGTGCAGATATAAATATATTTTCCCAAAAAGCTGATAGATGATGATGATGATGATGATCATGAGAAGAAGGTGAATGGGTAACTCGAGGTTTTATTGCAGAAAAGCCATCAAGGCGGAATCCTGCCAGCATTGGTGAGGCTTTGTTCCAACACCAGCTCATTCTCAATCAACCTCTCACCCTCAACTGGAACCTGCAACATGCATCATCATCATCATCATCATCATCATCATCATAGTAACAAGTAACAAAGCATGACCCTCTCTCTCAGTAACAAAACTTCACACACAAATAAACAATTAATAAGGGTTTGGTTGGATGCCCAAGGGATCAGTCATGTCATTACATTCCATGATCATGTTTCCTTGGGATCAACTTTTTACATTCAAGTGACAATTCTAACACTTTATATCTAAATATATATTATTGACAAGATCAAAAAGTTATACATAGCATTAAAACCCATGTACTTATTGTTAGAAAAATTAAAAATATTATTTAACTAAAGTAAAATCAGAAAACTTTTAAAGAGTTGCAATTTTTCATTCCATTCTCTGATGGAATGAAGAAAAAGCACTCCCTTCCTAAGAAATGAAAAATAACAAAGTGGAAGGAATCAAACAGCTTTTTCATTCCATTCCTTCTCCGATTCCATTCTTCATTTTTTTTATTAGGAGACCAAAATACCCTCAGTCTGAAATAAATAAAACTACGAATTCAAGCATACATATATTTATAATGAACAAAAATAAATAAGTTATTATTGAATTTCATTTGCAGGTAAGAATTCAACTCATGCTCTATTGCAGCTTTGAAACAACGACTAACAATTACTACATTAAAACCACAGAAATGCAATTTAAAACAATAATTACCAAAATCCATTTTTCGCATTCTATTTCTAAGAATTGGCTTCTCAATTATATACAATGAATTTGTAGAAAAAATCTATGCTTATAAGTTTTATACATTCAAAACCATAACAAACTGAGACTCCAAATTCAGAAAATAAGTCAAGCCAACTAATAAACTTATGACCAAATGTAAGGTTTTTCTTCTGAGATTAAGCTAATCAACTCTAATCTGCTAAGAAATTATGAGGCCACTTTCTTTCCTACAAGATAAAAGCAGGAGACCACTTCAATAGAATACAGTAAAGATAATCTGATAGGCCCCCAATCCGTCAAGTTTACACTCGTAAGAAGAAGAAGAAGCCCATGGGTGGCAGCCCAGTGAGGCTGGTCCAGTCCAGTGAATTGCAGGGGACAGACCAAGGGTAATTTGGTCTTTAGGAGCTCTTTTTGCTGCAGCTGTTTCGTGGGAGACATCCTTAGTGGGAGTGGAATGTTCTTTTTCTTTTCATGGCTGCTATTTGTCCTTTTTGTCCTTTCTTTTCAAAAAATGTGAGTTTGGAAAATCAAAGCTCTCCTATTTGGGCCATGTTATTTCTAGTGAAGGGGTATCAGCAGAAAACTCGAAGATTGAAGCCATGCTGGATTGGCCTACCCCCAGGAACATAAAGGAATTAAGGGGCTTCCTTGGACTCACGGGGTATTATCGGAAATTCGTCCGAAATTACGCCCAAATTACGATTCCCCTGACAGAACAACTGAAGAAAGATCGGTTCGGGTGGGGAAAAGAAGCAGAACAAGCTTTTCAGAACCTTAAAACAGCTATGACAACCTTACCGGTCCTAGCCATGCCCGATTTCCAACAAACTTTTGTTGTCGAGACGGATGCCTCGGGGTTCGGGTTAGGGGCGGTGCTATCACAAAGCGATCGACCGGTGGCCTACTACAGCTTCACATTAGGGGTGAGGGCACGGGAGAAATCCATCTACGAAAAAGAACTCATGGCCATTGTAAAAGCAGTCACGAAATGGCGACCCTACCTGTTGGGGCGAAGGTTTGTGGTAAGAACAGACCAGAAAAGTCTGAAATACATCCTAGAGCAACGGGTAATTGGAAATGATTACCAACGATGGGTAACCAAGCTAATGGGATTCAATTTCGAGGTTCAATACCGCACCGGGGCTAGTAACCGAGTAGCTGATGCCCTGTCCCGGCGAGATGCCACCATCGTTTGCAACTCCGTGAGCATGACTCTATGGGGAAGTTGGGACAAATTAAAAAAAGAATTAGACCAGGATGTTTTTGTGCAAAAGGTAAAACAAGACTTGGAAGCCAACCCCCAAACCCACAAAGGCTTTGGAGTTTTCTGTGGGAATCTGTTATATAAGGGACGGTTGGTGATTCCTGCCTCCTCCCCACTGATTCCGGACATTATCTCGACGTTTCATGACTCACCTATCGGAGGTCACTCGGGAATCAAGAAGACCTTCCAGCGGGCAGCAGCGGAAGTATATTGGGTTGGTATGCGTGAGTCTATATCTGAGTTTGTCCAAAAGTGCACCATTTGCCAGCAACATAAAGCCCTCACTTCATCCCCTGGGTTGCTGCAACCTATCCCAATTCCGGAGCAAGTTTGGGACGAAATAACTATGGATTTCGTGGAGGGGCTACCCAAGTCAGGAGGGTGGGATACCATATGGGTCGTAGTGGATCGCCTTAGCAAGTATAGTCACTTCATACCTCTGAAACACCCCTTTTCAGCAGCAACTGTCGCAAGCAAATTCATGACAGAGGTGGTAAAATTACACGGGATGCCCTTGTCCATCATTAGCGACAGGGACAAAATATTCCTAAGCCAATTCTGGAGTGGTGAATCGCAACACGGCCTATCACCCTCAATCGGATGGCCAATCTGAAGTGGTGAATCGTTGTCTCGAGACCTATCTTCGTTGCTTTTGCTCGGGAAGACCAAAGCAATGGGCCAAATGGTTGTCATGGGCCGAGTACTGGTACAACAGCTCCTACCATTCGGCTACCGGTACTACACCTTTCAAAGCCCTCTACGGACGAGACCCTCCACCCCTGATCAGATATGAAGGTCAGCAGACTCCAATGGATGCTCTCGACCAGCTGCTGGAAGATCGTGACATCGCCCTTGATGACCTCAAGATGAATCTCATTCGGGCCCAGCAGAGAATGCAAGTTCAAGCTAACAGGAAAAGAAAGGATGTGGAATATAAGGTCGATGAATGGGTGTACTTGAAGCTACGCCCGTACAGGCAACAAAGTTTGGCTCCTAGGAGATCGGAAAAGCTGTCGCCCCGTTACTACGGACCTTTTCGGATTCAGCAAAAAATTGGCAAAGTCGCTTATAAGCTCGAATCAAGGTTATCGATAGCGATAGCGAGGAAATAGCGACAACCCACCTATACGCTACGTAGCGATAGCGATGAAATAGCAACAACTATTTCATGTTTTGTGATTTCTTATAAAATTAAACACTATATTTACTTGCACCTATGCAGCAATCAAAAATAACATAGAACTAACAAGTATCATTTCTATTAAGCTAACATTAAGTTCCAAAAGATGTTTACCACAAAAGATTGGTTAGTTTTAGACTCTAAAGTCTAAAATTAAGTTCTAATACCACAAAAGAATGGTTATTTTTAGACTCTAAAGTCTAAAACTATGTTTAAATGACACAAATCGATTTTGGTGAGGTGTGCTATTGTCGCTACTGTCGCAGAAGTGAGAAATAACCCGCCAAAATCGATTTTGGTGATTTTGGCGCCGATCGTACAATCTTAGTCGATTAGAGGGGAAGACACGAAATTGATTGTATGATTGCCCGTCTAAACCTATTCCGAGCCTAATTGCTAAGTTTCTTACCGATTTAAACAAAAAAAAAAAAAAAAAAAATTCTGGACATCGCTACACACGCTATTGCCTCGCTACAGGCATCGTAGCGACCCATCACAGCTACGCTACGCTATTCGCTATAGCGAGTGTAGCGATCGCTATTAACAACCTTGGCTCGAAATTCGAATTACCCCCCACCACTAGTATTCATCCTACGTTTCATGTTTCACAACTCAAGGCTTCTATAGGAGCTCCAACACAAGCTAGGGAAATTCCACCTCAGCTCAACGAGGACTTAGAGTTGGTGACTCAACCAGAAGAGTTGCGAGGGGTTCGATACAAGAAGAATGGAGGGGCTGCAGACAAAGAAGTCTTAATTCAGTGGGAAGGGCTAACCGAAATGGAAGCGACATGGGAAGATTACTCCAAGGTGAATTTGCAGTTTCCAGGTTTTAACCTTGAGGACAAGGTTGAAGTTTGGGCCGCCGGTGTTGATAGGCCCCCAATCCGTCAAGTTTACACTCGTAAGAAGAAGAAGAAGCCCATGGGTGGCAGCCCAGTGAGGTTGGTCCAGTCCAGTGAATTGCGGGGGACAGACCAAGGGTAATTTGCTCTTTAGGAGCTCTTTTTGCTGCAGCTGTTTCGTGGGAGACATCCTTAGTGGGAGTGGAATGTTCTTTTTCTTTTCATGGCTGCTATTTGTCCTTTTTGTCCTTTCTTTCCAGTATTTATAGGGAGTTTTGTTTTCCGTTTGGGTATGCAGAAATTTGTAATTGCTTAGGCAACTTGGAGAGCACTCACCTCTCGAAAGTGAGATTATCCCTAATTCTATGAAAAACATAATTGTTCAATCCAAATTCCATTGTTATTCTTAAATACAAAGTTATAAGAACAGTAGGAAAGAGCTTATCATAATCAAGATGATTAGAATACATAAATACAGGGTGATCTAATTTGTGGAATCTCACACAGTATTGTTTTTGGAAGCTCTAAACATAATTTCAAAACGCCCTAATAGCCAAAAAGCCTGTCGAGCAATATGCATACGCATATAAAGATGAAGATCATCATTGGCTCCAAAAAACACCGACTACAAGCAAATGATATTCGTAAATTGATCCAAGTGTTAGAGATGGTGTGATACATATGCAGTGTAAAAAAAAACATGAATTTAACAAAGGGACATTTGTTTTCAGGATATTAGAAATATTCTACACTAAGCAGCCCAGCCCTTAAATCGGGACACCAATTAGTTACTTTGTTATTAATATTAGTCTGTCAGTTATTCATCAATATATGCCCTATATAGAGTTTTAATACGTATTCCAGCGTGTTTCAATTTCTTTGTCATGCATATACTAGTTATGACAAAAAAAAAAAAGTTGAAATTTACATACATGTAAAGGTTGGAGTGATGGTGATGGAAGATGCGTGAAAAGGCGTAGTCCAAGGAACATCTCTAACTGCTTGTGACGAGAGCTATCAACAATTGCGTTTTTATATCTTCTCTGCAACGTGATTTTCACATTCTGTGCGACAGAAAACTGCTTGAACTTTGCGGGTTCGTCAGTAAATATGGTAAGAATCTGACTATGCATTGCTTTAGATGCAGTGTAGATTGTGGCATGAATATCACCAGCTAGCAGAAAAAGGTCAGCCAGCAGACAAACGGGTGACAAGATTGTAGACTTTTTGAACTCCTCAAACGTCATGTCAAAACGTTTCCAAGGTTTATCTGGACATGGGTGATTCCAAGTGGTAATACTTTTATATGGATCACGCTCTGCAACATAAATTTCTGTTTCTGCAGCTGTCATCTTCAGTTCTGCACCCCCACCAGATGGGAATGGTGCCTCGTCTCCATAAATACGAGTTGAAACCCACACTTTGACCAGCCCTTTTCAGGACCCATACAACTTGCTCACACTCAACTTCATTGCCTACATATATATTATGTGGTGTGTTTGTATTCACAAAAAGACCATCGACTGTACCTGTGTGCTGTAACAAGAATTTATGCCCCATGCTAGGTATCGAGTGCCCGGATGAAGCCTGCTTCGACGAGCTATAAGAGCAACAATTCCTTCTTGCTGACCTAAGCTTCCGAAACTTCTGACATTCTGCAAAACCCTGTAACAATTTGACATGTATGTATGTATGTAATACTCTTTACATCTAATATGCTAACCATGAGTTAATTAAATTTACACAAACTGTCACCTGAGTATTGCCTGCTTAAAATAATGAAATTTAAGACTAGTGTTTGGAACAATATCTGATAAGCCGAAACAATAATACTCTCCTTTAGTCTGTTATAAAATTCATTCAGCAACGATTTATTAGAGCGAGATCTAGAGTACTGGATGAGGCAAATATTTACGTGACTTGTGTCGAATGAAACAAAACGCAAATTTAGGGAGGAAAGAGGTAGAGTTTATGGTGGGAGAAAAACTATTTTTAAAGCTTCGACCTTATCAACAACGATCGTTAGTTGTTATGTGATTTTGGAATAGATTGGAAGTGTAAACTCCCTTCCAATGCTGTGATTCATCCGGTGTCTCAACTAAGAAGGGCTTCTTCACCTACTTTTCCATCTCAGTTAACAGATGAATTAGAAGAATTAAGGGCTGCTTTGGAAGATATTTTAGATGTTCACCACCTTAATCTAGGAACTCCTGAGCAATTACATGTTTTGGTGAAATGGAAGAATTTATCAGCTTTTGAAGCTTCTTGAGAGAACTGGCTGGGATGCTCTTTTGAACCAATTTCCCAATGCTCGCCTTGAGGACAAGGTGAATTTTCACACTGCCGGGGGGGTATTCTGAGGTTTACCTACACAACAACAACAACAACAACAAGACAATAATACTGTGTAATTAGAATCATGACTTTAGGCCGGCAGGGGTATTCTAGTCATTTAGCCCAATAAGTAGGTTATGATGATATAAATAGCTGATCAGTTTCTAAAGGAGTCAGTAAGGTTTTATTTTGTTTCCTTGGGAGAAAACTACCTTCTCGAATTGGTAGAATGATTTTAAATTCATTAGACATTCCTCTATCAGTAATCATTTGATTTGAGCCCTAATTCCAGTTATAGCATAACATCTAGAACCCTAATTCAAGCATAACAATTGCATTCTCAACTTTTTTACACTTTGAAAATCTACCACTGTTTTGCATCCGATGACAATGCTATATAGTATATAGGTAGATTTCTTCAAGCACAACATTGTAGTAGGAGATGCCATAATAAAAAAATTAATACCTGCAGTAAAATGACACAGTATTGCTCCAGACCAATTCGTCTGAAAGGAGTCGAGAACCATCCATTCCAAACAAATTCCTCATCGGGGTCTCGAACAGAAGCATGACTCAGAAAAGGTCGTGTTATATCCCTTGTTTCACAAAAGTAGTGTTTTCCATCAATATCAAGTTCAGCAAGTTCTTTAATATTCTTTACTTCTCCTTTCCCCTTGGGGTTGGGGATTTTGAAGTAAAGTAAGACTTTGATCCATTGGCTCTCACTAACAGTGTACACACACCCATCACCAGGCAAATTTGGAATGCTAGCATTCAACTTTGTTGCAACAAGCAGCAAGCCGAAGCTCCCAAGCACTGCATAACCTAATATGGCTCTGCCATAGGTTATAGTCTTGTAAATCGACCTTGAAACATTTGTGATGTAGTTTAATGCCTCGTCTTGGGAATTAAAAACATCATAACCCACCTTCTGGTCATGTCTAAGAGACCCAGTTGTTGGATCAATATTAGATCACTTGAGTGTAACAACAGATGTATCCCGTAATCCACCAGCTGCAAGAAAAAACGCAAGGAGACAAGAGACAGAATCCAAAAGTATACATCATATGACTTTCTTCACAAAACCAATCAGCAAATCAAGTGATGAAACTGTGAAAGCTTTCAAAGGGCTATAACCAGGTGATTCCATGATCTAACGGCGCATCTGCCTTAGATGTTGATGACTGCGTTAAGGGTAACTTTTCCAAAAAAAGATGCTTGGGCAATGAGAAAGATTTTAAAAAACTTATTATACCAAAAGTTATTTTGTTAATCCAAACTTATTTTAATTTTTTTTTTCAAAAAGTCCTATAAAAAGGATTTTGATGTTCAAAAGCAATTTCAAATACTCCTAAGGCACATGAATCCTATTGAAGATAATATACAATCTGATTAAAAATTAAAAATAAATATACGATATAATGATGAGCTATATAGTCCTCTCCTCTCATAATTAAAAAAAAAATGGATATGCGAAAGTAGATACTGTCAGAGATGAAAAAAATTAACATTCAGCTATGAGTTTATTAAGTGGATCATTATGGTTATATATTACATTTATTGCTTGAAATCTTCAGATAAAATTAACTATATGGTAAGCACGATAGGTACAACAAAAACTACATCGCCTACAGATAATCTACAAACAAAGCAGGTTATGGACTTGATCTGTTGTGAGGACCATAATGGCATGCATAATCACATATGTTCGGATGTTTGTTTGGACCATAAAGTATAGCCAATATAACTGAAATGTCAACGTTAAATTGACATGCTCCCGGCTAATAAACAAAAAGTGGAAGATAAGTATCCTAGAAAATAGCATATCAATCAGTAAATACTAAGGCACATACTATGCACACCAGCAAGAGGATACTGGATATGAGACCAATATAATACAAATTCTAAAGCAATTGTGTGACCTATCTATAAGTAAATCAATATATCAGAATTATGTAACAATGATCATATCGTCACGGATCCATGACCAGATTCCACCGGGGCAGACCTTTTCAAAAATCTTTCTATGTTAACAGTTTCGATTTTTTTCAACAAACTTTAAGAAAATATTAACTAAAAACACCTAAAGATTATCGATAAAGATATCAAATCCCAACAGCAAGGAATGAAATCAAATCCCAATTAGCAACAAGTATTAGAAGAGATTTTAATATGAGCATTAGCCGTTTCTTACCTGGCCTGAAGCTCACATGTAACATACACGTTCAGTTATCGTGTTATGTAATTTTAAAAGTGAAAAATATAAGGAAATATTATATGAATTTGAACGTTGAGTTCTAACAGATAGTTTTTACTAGAAATGACGTAAAAGTATGTTTAGAATCACTCGAAAAATATTGGAAGTTATATGAGATTCCAATCTAATATTGAAATTTAACGAAAATATAAAATTTGAAATAAGTGAAATTTTATTATTGAAAGTTTCTAACGAAATTATCTACAACTTTCAATAATAAAATAGGAATCGAAGCCCTCCGGTTTTAGGTTACAATTTCTCACTCTCTCTCACTTTTTACTCTCTTCCAAGCTACTTTTAACCCCCCTAAAGTCCCGGTATCATCCCTAAAGTGTCCCGACGCTCCGATTCCCGAGAAAATCCCTAAAACCAGAAGCATGTCCCGACGCTCCGAAGTTCCCGAGAAAATTATATTTTCAAGTCGAAACTCTGCCCGTGTAAGGCCGGTTTTCAACTAAAATCCCCGGTTTCATCGCCAGAAAGTCATATTTAGAGCCGAAGTGCTGCCCAAAATATCATTTATTCCTTCGGTTATTTCACGGTGAGTTCAATATATAGGAAAAATTATAATGTTATGTGTTATATGTGCTATGTGCTTTTCTGTGTTATCATCTTGTGTTATTATTTCTGCTATTTTGATAGCAAAGTTGTACCTTTGGCCATGTGATCAGTGTAAGGACTTAGATTCAAAGTGGTATTGGTATGTAGCCTCTGGCCATGTAGAGCATGTCTCGTAAGAGAATGACTTCTATTCTATGGCATTGGCAGAATGTTAGATAGGGCCGAAATCCTGAAATCTACCAAAATGCTTAATCAGAAATCATATGTCTTTTGTGCCATTTGTGCCTCTATGTTATCTTGATTTTTATATCATTGATCATGTAGAGCATGTCTCGTATCACTTTTGGTATTGGCTTTGAGCCTTTGGCCATGTAGAGCATGTCTCGTATTATTCTGGTATCAGATTTATGTCTTTGGCCAGGTAGAGCATGTCTCATATCACTTCTGGTATTGGCTTTGTGCCTTTGGCCATGTAGAGCATGACTCGTATCACTTCTGGTATTGGCATAGGGCTATGTAGGGCTGAAAGCCTGTATATTCTAGCAAAATGATAATCCGAAATTGTATGTCTTCTGTGCCATTTGGGCCGAAGTGTTATTCATGTTTATCAAGTGTTGAAATTGTTAAGTCTCTTTGACTATATATCTTTGAATCAAATCATCGATTGATATGGAAAGCTTGTCGCATTTCACATATGCCTTTGTTGTTCGTTGTACCCGTTTGCTTCTGCCATATTAAAGTATATATATGGCATAACGTTATATTGTATCTATTATTGAACTCACTAAGCGTCACCGCTTACCCCTCTCAGTGTTTAACATTTGCAGGAAATAAGCATCCAATATAGTCGTATACTGTTAGAAGATTTAGAATAGTTTATACTATTACTTTTGTATTTGGGTTTATGTTTGTATAAAAATTATAATATCCTGGGTAGTTATGTAATATACTAAAACTTAGTCGGTTTGTATCCAGTCCTTTGTAATCAAATTATCAATGTAAAATATGTTTTTGAATATGCATGTAGCATGTTTTGGAGTAACTTGGAGTGACAATGTCTTTAGTATGAAAGTTAGGGTCTTTCATCACAGCATATATAGACGATTGGAGATCCGCAGATGGCTAAAGGTATCACGCACGAAGCAGCATTGCAATAGAGTTATGCTTTTTAAAAACTCAAAATATTACTTTAGACAAATTAAGTGATTAATGGTGTAACATCCATAAATTTCAAAAAAAATTTAAACTTTTTCAAACATCCAAGAATCATTATTTATTACAAAATGTTTTCAAAATAGTTTCATATCAGAGTATCCCAGAAATCAGAGTCATAAAATGTGACAACCTGAAATTTCTATCTTGTACAGTATTCAAATCAATCAAGGTCAGACTCGTTTTTGCTATCTTCTAGCACTGTTTAGAGTCAAATTGAGTGTTCTAAGCCCAGTATCTTCAAAGTTAGGGTTTAGAATTGAGTAGCACAAGTTCACCACTTTCAAAGAAGGCCAAACACTCCAACATTAGGAGTGTACGGCCGCACACTTGGGTGTGCGGCCACACACACCCTCCTGGCAGCACACACGCATGTATAAGAGTAGGACTCAGCCTCCATTTACCTCTTTTCACACTCCTAAGCCAAGAAATCAACTTCTCTCTCAAGTATCATCCGTTTTTCATCTAGATCTTCAAGTTGTAAGTGTTTCTTCCTATGTTTTGTTGATTCATTACACAATTTAGTAAGGATCTATGATTTCATCCATGAAAGTACTCCTTTTGTTTAGATCTTCAAGTGTTCTTCAGTTTCACCAAGAACACCTACTAAGTTCTTGGGCTCCAAACACCCCTAAACGCTTCTAAATTGTAAGTACCCTTCTTGTGCTTGATACTTACTAGTTTAGAGCCTTAGAAAACGTCCAGAACATGTTTATCAAGGAGTGTGCGGCCGCACACACCCCATATGGCCGTACACCCCTTTGTTTAGTGCTATTAGGCTTCAAACTCATGTTTTATGCTAGCACATGATCAAGAACACTTAGGGGATATAAGATAGAGACTTGGAATCCCCTTTTGACCATTTTTGCATGATCATCAAGGGTGTACGGCCGTACACTCCTTGTGTGGCCGTACATACCCTTTTTAAGGTCCTAAATGGTAACAAACTTCCATTAAGGCTAAGCATTGGTCAAAGCACACTTCCTAGATGCTTAATAAGACTTTAAATCACTCAATGGCATATTTCACCATGAGTGTGCGGCCGCACACCCACTTAGGCCGTACACTGTGGCCGTACTCACACATGAAACATACCATTCTGGCCGTACACTCCAAGGTGAGGCCATACATCCATTATATGCAACCCTTGGTACTTCTAACACTTGAATCTAAATGTTTCCTATGTCCTAGGATGTCTTTCCTTGCATAATTAGTTGTTTTTAACACTAATTATATACATATATGTGTCATTATATGCTTATTAGGATTCGGTGTGCTCAAGTCTTCACTTGACACTTAGCATCCTGCAATCTGATCTTCCATTCGTATTACTCACTGCAGGTGAGTTCATACCCCTTTAACTTCTACTACCTTTTAAATGATTTTAAATGCTTTATAGGGGGGGAAATACAAGTACAAACGAATAGTTATTATATCAATCATGTGATTAATAACTATCAAACAGATGGATTTCTTATACTTCAAACAGTGTTATCAATCAAATTGCTTCAAATCGTTTTACAAACTCTTTTATATGCAAAACTCCTTATTAAACTCTTTTACACTTATATTTTATCAAAAGCATATCTATATAGATATAGCTATATAAGTAGGATTGAAAGGACTTAGGGGAGGAGATAGCTCGCCTTACTTCCTGTTCCTTTGTTTGGTTGGGACTTAGGGTATCGGTTGTTTGTCCGAAGGTCGTTTGAATCTTAATTATATATTATGGATATTTGTATAGATATAAAAGTCTTCATTCAGTTCAATACCTTTGAGTAGCAAGGTATACAAACATGTTCATTCATACAAACAACATTGCTAGTAAACTATAATAGGTATAGTTAGGAAGTTACTAATACTAATTACTAGACCATGAAACATACTAAGAGTCAGTTCATCCATGAGTCCTCGTACTATAAACGAGAAACAATACTCCACTAAAGAAGAAACAGATAGAGAATACTATAATGCGAATCAGTACATACTACATACTACATACTACATACTAGAGAACATACTACATACTAAGACGAAGAGAATACTACACTCGTACATGCGATACAAATACAAGAATACTATAACATTAATGTGAGATACAACTTCATGGCTCGGCATAT